ATCTTGTGGCCATCTACAAATTCATCGGGGGACAGGGGATGGGGGGGGAGGGGGTAGTTACTTTGCCTTTAGTGCTTTTAGAATTTAACACCCCTTGTGCACTAGGAATAAATCTTGATACGTAACTTCTGCTCTGGACTAGCATTTCCATGCCAGCTTGCATAGTAAATTGCAATTCTAGTTTTGCTAAGTCTAGGTCAGTAACTCAGATATCCTAATCCCAGATATGCCATAATAAGGATATTGTAAATCTAAAAGCAGTAAAAAATTAACACATCCTTTCACTAATTCAGAGAGATCACACAAAAGCATGCACTTTCTTGCAACTGTGATATTCCACATCTTGTGTAGAACACAAAAGTAGCAACAAAGACATTAACAATTGAGGTTCAAGCTGGGAGTGACTGTTCTGTTTCAATTCAATGACACCACTAATGGCTTCTTAGCAGCTCCATGAAATCAACCAGCTGTCAAGTCGATGCATCAGAAGGAACAGTTAGGCACTCCCATAAGAAAAAGCAACACATCAGGATGTTTGGCAAAACATCTGCTCCTTTACACTGCAGTTCTATAATAAACATGCAAACAAAGAAATGAGAAAAAGGGCAGTGCACACCAAAAATCTAACACTGGTCTTACTTTCTTATGTGTATTTTAAATAAAGGTCTTATACAACCCCCCCCCAAATTTTTAGTCTTGCAACATATTTTACTTTGCCATAAGGACAGCATACTAAATGTACCTATGTTTTTACACTGTGTAATAGAAAATTACTGTTCCTTTTTCTTGTCATCTGCAGTGGTAAAGATGGCAAGGTTAAGAAACTACCTATTATAAGCAAAATTAACAGACATATATTTAGTAAATTTTATTACCAAAAACAGCTTTCCATACTAATTTGCAATATAAACTGTGACCTTAATTGTGAGCTTAAGCAAATGCCATTTTGTTGGGTTATTCTCATGAAGCTAACTCCACAGACCGGTATTTATTTAAATTGAATCAGAAATATGAGTAGTGCAGTTCTACAGCTTATTGTCAATGCAGTTACTCACAGGATGCTTAATCATGCCTTTAATTCAAAATAGCAGCAAGTCAATAAATAGCAAGAAACCATAACTTGATTCTCTAAAGAATTTTTTGCTCTCCAATGTATGTACATTCAAATATAAAACTTTAACAGTGTCTCGTTTTATAGGCTATAGTTTTTTTTTTAAAAGAATCAGTAAGTCCTATTAATTTTTTAAAAGGTTCCTGCTTGCCAAATTAGACTTATAATTACTTGGACACCAAAGAAGTCCCTCTTTAATACTTACAACTTGTACATACTGCCAATATTGAAAATGGTTTCAAATACAAATACAATTTGCTTGATGTTCCCTGGAAATTGTTCATGTAGCATTGTGACAAAAATGTGTGCACAGTTTACAATAGGTGCGAGACATCAAATATACTTAACTACCATTTTCTTAAAACTGCTTATCCTCTGTTGCTCACCATTTATAATCTGCCAAATCTTCCAGGCCTTTGCTGCATGTATAATTTAGAACCATCTGTTCTACGTGCTTTTAACTATTTAAACATTTTCATCTACCTAAGATTCACATAACTGGCAGGCATTTAATTCAACCAGGCTTTCTAAAGCATTTTTAAAGAACATGCTAAGGTGAAGAGATGAAATTTCTTAACATAAAAACCTACTTCCTATGCAACAATAAAAACTGTTAAATATATCATTGAATTTTGAGTTTGCTAAAAAACATCTTGATGTACTAGGAAGTGTTCCTGTTAGTCTCCATGTTAATTGTAGTCAATGTTTTTACCAACCCTGAAGACAAAAGGAATGCAAATTAAACACCGGCAGTTTCGTGTTCTTGTTGGCATGACTGTATTTACTCTGTAAAAAGTAAAACTGATGCGGGAAATGGAATTCAAATATAACATTCTATTTATGGTACTTGTTATTTATCAAGTAGTCAGGGTTTGCCTAAGTTTTGCCATGTGACCAAGAGAACTTCTATGAGATGAAGAGAACATCACTGAGAAGTAATTTAGAAGAACAATACCTTTTATTGTTTCCCTGTTTGCAACAGCTGACATGAAAGCTTAGACCCAGAGGTAATTGCTATTAAGAAAAATTCAATTTAGCACGCCAACTACATTTTGCTAGCCACAGAATCCAGCATCTGGAATATCCTCTGAAGTACATGTAATATCTACAGGTACTTTCCAAAAGGAAATGTTTAGCCAGCACTACATTACAAGAGTTTAATTTGTTGCAAATTTATATCTGAGAAATGAGCACTTAAAAAAAAAAAAAAAAAAAAAAAAAAAAAAAAAAAAAAAAAAAGAAAAGCACATTTCCCAACCCCCATCTCACACCCAACCAGAGGCCAGGCACTCACTACTTTGGGGGAAAAACTGGACTAAACGTCTTGTGCAAATTTTAGTAAGAGGTGCAGGTAACTGCTTGTAAATAGTAGCATGGCTGATCCCCACATGATGTACTAGTTCATGTTGTACCACAACTCTGGATTTTTAAAGGGCTACATTAATATTTATGTGCGAAAGGCCCCAAGGCTGGAATAAAAGTGGGAGTCACGCAAAGATATTCCTCCACCTGTTACCAAAAAAACCACAGTGGAGGAGGAGGCGCCTCTTGCAGCCCCGGAGACGGCGGAGTTGGACCCACTACCAACCTGTGCACGTCAAGGGCAGGCGCCCCGCGCGCCGAGGGAGCCCGCCCTGGGCACCGCGCCGGGCTCCTGGAAAAATGCCCCTCCAACTTCAAGTGACGTCACAGTCGGGCCCTGGACCCGCCTCAACTTTGCGCCTTCCCCGCGGCTCCCGCTGCCGCTGCCCCGCGCCCCGCAGAGCCGCGCCGGGCCGGGCCGCCCAAATTTGCCCAAGATGGCGAAAGGCTTGTTGTTTAGAGGGCAGAAAAATGGAGGATATTGTAATATACACAAAGGGATAAATTTCAACAACTCGGCCAAGAGCTGCAGCCGCTTCTGGCTCTACGCGAGGGAGCCAGGCGCGCACAAAGGAGAGCGGCAGGGCGGGAGGCAGCCCCGGCAACGGGAGCCGCCTCGCCTTGCCTCGCCGCGCCGGTCCTCTCCTCGGTGGAGCTCGGGACAGCTCCCCCAGCCC